AGTAATTGGTTGTGTGTTGTGACACAAGTTATACAGAAAAGGATGTTGTGGTGAAGTCCAGGTGTTGTGGTGAAGTCAGAACGCTGAGCACCAAATGGCTCTGATTGAAGGATAGTGGGTAGACCTCAATGCATTTTCATTAAGGTATACCCACTATCCATGAATCAAAGCCAATCAGGGCTTGGCGTCATTTTGACGTCAACTCCTGCGCAACAAGCAGACGACTTGGTCTCCGCATAAGCCCCGCCCACATAGACAAGGGCGGATGTGCCAGAGGCCCCCTCTTTTAATAACCTACAGCTCAGTGACAGGTGCCCGACACAACAAATCTGACAGTTTCATATAAAATAAATATATAAATTATGATTTACGAGCAATCGTAATTAGCATGGCAGAAAAAAAAAAAGCCTAAATTGGCAAAAGCTTAACAATCCTCAGGGCCCACAAGGTGGGCCCTGAGGATGTGACCCAGGGCACCATACTTGGTGCAAGACTACTTCGACGTTTCTACGCTGTTTTTTTTTTCTTTTTTTCTGACACGCTACATATTTACCAAAGTGCAAGATGATGATGATGATGAGCAGCAGAGAAGCCTCAATCGGGCACTTGTTTAACAATTTAGGGCCAAAGTTGCCACCTGAGAACCGTACAACCAGAAGAAAAAAGCCTAACCTCTGAAACTTTCTGGGCGATTTAGTCCCAAAGATACCCAGTACCGCGCAACTACCCGCAGTGAAGCCGAACTTCGGCAACTTGTTTGGCGAATGAGAGCACTCAGACTCGAGGCCAAATGAGGTCTCGTTTTAAGTATAAAAATAATATAGTCACACACGAGACATGCATCTTATATCTATTTTAAAAGCAACAACAGCTGTGTAGAGTTTCATGGGACATTAAAGTGCTCGTCTAAAGTTTGAGAATAATATAATAGTACACAACAGATATAACTTATATAATTTTAACGATAATAACATCTGTGTAGAGTTTGATATGACATTAAGGTGCTTCTTTAAAATATGAGCATAATATTGTCATACACGAAAGGTCTAGCTTATATATCTTTTAATGATAATAACAACTGTGTAGAGTTTCGTATAATATTAAATTGCTTGTCATAGGTATTAAATAATATACAATGTACAAGACAGTTGCAACTTTGTATGTACCTTGTAGTCCTTGTATCCAAAGTGCTATTATTGGGTTACACAAACTACACAATTGCCGAGCGGCATCGAGTCGTCGCCGTGGCTAGTGATAACGCTTGGTGCGAAGTTTCCAGCCATGGGGTTCTTTTTTCTCCAATGGCGCACATGCGCGTGCGTTTACGTGCATGCGCGTGCATGAGCATGCTCACATGCGTGCGTGCTTCAAACGGAGCAAGTATGCAGGTGCAAGCTTTCTGCGTGCTGGGGGACAGCGTGCACCGGAGCCACTAGCGATGAAACACTTTTTGTTGCATTTTTTGTTAACTCCATGATTGAGTCACCAAGATGGCGGTCAGGCGCTTTGAGGGCTGACCAACATGGCCGCCACGTGTTTGGCTTCGTGATGCTTGATTTCTAGTGGCTCTAGTGCAAGCGAGAATGTACAGTCCAGCGAAGGCAATGCTACTACTCGCTAAAGAGCTCCTCCGCGCAAGCGGCCAGTAAAGGCAAGATAATGAAAATTACTTCGAATCACTGTCTTTGGGTACCTCGGAAAGGTCGCCTGCCCACGTGGGATTTTGTTCTCCTACTACTATTTATAGCGGGTTGGTACGTAATGCAGATGTGATTTGTTCACTTCCATCAAAGCTCCGTTTCATATTGCCCTCGTGATTGAATTACCTGAAATACGAACGACGCCGAACGCTTCCTTATCAACTGGACTGCAACGAGTTAGCTTTGCATACATTACTTGAAAGGCTAGATACATAACCCGCTAAAGGTAGGTATCTGGCGCTGTTAACGTCGACGCGTCGTTTGGTGTGACCCATCGCATCTATTTTGAAGCATAACGACTTCAGGCTAAGAGCTTAAACATTTCAGCAACACATTTGACTTATAGATAATTAAATGGCTGAAAACGTATGACTTGGTGCTGAGCTGTGATTTGAAGTGATTAGTGAGCGAACGCAAAGGGCTAGTTGATTGTGACTTGCTTGTTACTGCTTGAGTTGCTTGTTAACCCAATGATCGAATGCCGGACTTCGGTGTCCGGCATTCACCCGCGAAGTACTGCGCGAAGATTGGACGACACTCTTGTCCGCTCCACCCACTGATCCTTCCAATCAGAGGTCGACTTCCTCTGACGTCTCCGCCTACTTTGATTTCCTCCTTTCCCTCAGCTTGTCTTCGTGTAGCCCAGGTAACGAGTTGTCCGACATGTTGGACGGAAGCTCAAAGACGTGAAATGGCATATATTTTCTCTTACCGCTTACGAATGGGCCCGCGCCTGCCGTCGTGTGGCCCCACATAAACTTTGAACATCGGTGTGAAAAAATAAAATGATAAGCCCTTCTACATGACCGCTCGAATGCGTCGTTACTAAATATTGCACATGCTGCATATGTTGATACCGGCAGGTTTGGAAAAGTAAAGGGATATCTTCGTCTTCAAAACCTAAAAATAATAAAATCTCCCCCTCCCCCCCCCCTTAAAAAAAGAAAACGAAAGAAAAGCAAACGGTTTTAATATACGATAATGGCTTTCTTAAGCAGATTTTATTCTTCTTCGCCTTGCTTGTTTTTTTCCTTAGGCCTGGAGTATATCATCTCACGTGTAATAACCGTCGGATTGTTAAGGCATTTTTTGTTGCTCGTGACTGAAATTCGCTCGTCTAGGCCTGCGCGTGAGTTTGCTCTGTGCACGCGCTGACGAAGCCTGGATGGGGATCCCCGAATATTTCTTTGTTGAAAAATCTCGTTCGAGGTGCAACCGAATGCTGGAAGTACAGGAGTTTTAGCCCTGTTAACAAACCTCAGTAAGGAAGCCGGCCAGACGACCCTTCCAAGTATTTCAGCGCGTCCCCGGCACGCCATAGCAAATAAATGCACGCTTTATATAAAAAAAAAAGTGAAGCAGGAAGTTTGTAATTACCGAAGTGACAACTCGAATTAACTTATAAGCACACAGATATGAGGCCTTGCATGCGAAGAGGCGACTCTTATATCGTTCAACGTTTTGTAAAAAAAGAAAAAAAACGGGAATTTTTTGCGAGTTTAGTATTGATTCGTCTGTATGGGGCTGCGACGTCAAAGCTAATGTATTGTCGCGCCCGAAACGATGACTTTTCGTGAAAAGCGGGAATTCTCGTTTTCCCGAAGCTGTGTGTTTTGTTGTTATATAACAACGTAATTCTAAATTTTTTTTTTTTCTTGCAACGTGTATTGTTTGACAACTGCTTGCATTGTTTCCGGTGTTGAATACGCGGGACGTCTCGCGCGTGCGCGTTTATTGGACTGTTTACGATCCCTCAGAGGACGACAACGATTGGGAGGAGCCTCGGTTGCCCCGCCTACAGGTTGTGCTTCCTACGTTAGATGACGCCTCGACTTCTCATAATCATCGAGCGTGCACGCGTATCCAAAGCATGACGGAGGGCCGGACTTCAGAAAGAAACGCCCTGATGTTCTCTTCCTGGCAGTGATTGCAGCTCATTTTGTACAAACCAGAATTCCGCGTCCGGACAGAGATGAACTAGATTTTTGGTCGGCTTAGGTCAGGAGTCCTAGGCTAAATATTTTTTTTCCTCTTTTCGGTGGTTACATTTTTAGATGTCGACTTTGCCTCCCGTGCCCCTGCTTACAAATTCGACCGATGTTCGGTTCATTAAAACACTCGAAGTCAGAGCTTTTCGTTTTCTGAGACTTTACTCTAAAAAAAAAAAAGCACGTGCGTCTACTTTCCCGCACAACACTCGGAGAGCCAATCAGCGCAATTTCGCGGAGGCAGTTCAGCGAATGACGATGCTGAAACATACGTTTAGGCCAAAAAACGCAGTCTCAGTTTTGACATTAAGCAATACAAGCGTGACGTTTTGCATTGCTTAATGTCACAACTAAGACTCCGTTTTTTGGTCTAAACATATGTTTCGGCATCGTCATTCGCTCAGCTGCCTCCGTAAGTTGCGCTGATTGGCTGGCCGAGTGTTGGGCGGGAAAGTAAACTCACACGCTTTTTTTTTAGAGTGAATTCTAGAAGCTGGGGTAGCTTTATCTTGTTAGGAAAGGATCGTGTAAAAATGATCGGGTGTTTCATCGCTATGATAAAGCTGAGCTGCGCAACATTGGAACGTAGAATTTTGCTTAATGTCTATTATTGCGAAGTAATGATATGTGCCTTAACAATCTCTTTCACTGGCAAAAATTATGTTTTCTTCTTCAATTTAACGACGCAACCTGGATTGCTTTGTAACTGTGCAGTAATTCAATGCCCTGCTAAATTTAGCGGGAAACGTTAGACATTAGTGCGACACTTTTTTGGTGCACATTTTTAATGAACTTTTGTTCCTTAAAACATTCTGAGTAGAACTTGCGGATAATCTTTTCTTGTTCAAATATGGTCGTTTAAAAATAGCGTGGGGCAGGCACACCGACTTTCCTTCCCACATGTTGCGAATTCGCTGCCCGACGACGCTGTTAACCGGGAAAGCTAACTTGCCCCTTAACAGGCTGGCTGTCTATACAAGGCAATAGAGTCACGAAGAGACAGAGGTATCCCGTAGTCGTGCAGCATTTTGTTCTCACCACGACTGTGCTGCTGGACGGAAAAATACACGAACCTGCCTCCTTACAGGGTGAACTTTGCTTGCTTACAGAACACCTGCGCCGTGCGGCAAAGCGAACCTGCCTACTTGCAGGTTTGGGAGTCTGCTTGGCACAACACCGACGCGAAGCGGGGAAGCTAGCTTGACTATCTGCAGGGGTGGGTGACTGTGAAGCAGCTAGTGGGGAGATGCGGTTTAGCCACAGGAAGCTCGACACCGAAACACACGAAGGCATGAAAAATGCTGCTCCTTACCTGTACCTTCAAGAAATTGGGGGCGGAGCGGGGAAAAGGGAAGGACTGGATGTTTATGCATAAACAACACGCATGCAATGCATAAAAACCGCGCACTCGTCACGCGTAAAATAACGGAGAGGTGACCGCATAAAACTGGACACTGGTTACTCTTAAAGTAACGTATAGGTGGCGCATAAAAGTCCTCGCTTGACACGCGTAAAAGGACGGATAGGTGACGCATAAGACTGAACTCCTTACGCGTACAATAATGAATAGGTGGCGCATAAAACTGCGCTCTCGTCACGCATAAAATAACAAATAGATGACGCGTAGAATTACGCACTCATCACGCGTAAAATAACAAATAGGTGACGCTTACAACTAAGAGACCAGAATAGGCGTGAAAATAAAAGTTTAACGTGACTGAGTGTAAAGTGACAGTGGCACCGAAAGCTACGCTTAAAAGTAACACACGTTTGCTAACTGAGCTTATACGTCAATTAAGGATGGAGCTACTTTTTGACGTCTTGCTTTTGCTTAAAAAAACAGATTTTTAAGTTAAAAAAAAAATGGTGTTGCCAGATGCAAGTTTTATCCCTCGAAACTGCGGGCATTTGTAGTTGTTTTTGCTGGGTGAGATGTTTATACTGCAAGGCTGGTACTTTTAGCACAATATTCATCCTTACGCAAGAGTCAGGTACCAAGATAGCTTATTTGATATTCATTTTTTACTTAGATTGTTCTTTTGCTTAGCTTGCCGTTGTTTTGCTTAGATTGTCGTTCTTAAGCGCCAGACTTGTCGCATGTGTGCCTCGTTTTCGTCCTTTCCTTGTTTGTGCTATTTAGTTTCGTTTTGGTAAGAAGACAAGTGTTTAGATTGACAATGAATCTCGCGCCTTGTTCAAAATATTTTGCCTGTTATTTTTTGTATAATTTTTTTACCACACTTACTGTCCAAAGTGAGGCTTTTTTAGCAGTTCTGGGTACGAAAAGTTTTGTGCGAAACGTTCTAATTCAGATGTCATGATTCTAGATATTAAAAAAAAGACGCAAAAACGTAAGTTGGCGATAAACGAGTAACCACGATGTGCTTTCTGTTGTAATAACTGGAATAACCTTATAAATTTTGGAATTGACGTGTCATCTATCAAATAAAAAAATAATACTACAATTACGAACTCGAAAAAGCACCGTGTCAATGTAATATAAAGAAACTAAAAGGAATGCCTGAGTTCGCGTGACCTCTCACCGTGCGAGAAAACGGCATTTTCGTAAGAAGCTTGCATATATGTTTAAGCCAGAAGCATTATTTTGCTAAGCCAACTTGCATTAGAGAATAATTTTAATTATACGTAAAGCAACGTCGTTTGCCCATAATGCTGCTACTGTCTTTTTAGAGCGTGGTCCTGCCTAGGAATGGACCAAGCCTTTCCCGGGTATTCGCCACCAACGAAGAATTTTTTCACGGTGTTGTATAACAACAACAACAACAACAACATATGAGACGATGCGCAAATCTATGCACCAGCCTGCGTTTAGAAAACACCTCAGCCGATTTTTGCCACTGCAAGGGACGCCCAATCAGCAAGCACGACGATCTGGCAACACTGTGGACTGCCGAATCCCCCCGAGAAAGAAAAAAAAAAGAAGGAGCGCTCAGGCACCAATACAAGACGCATCCAACTTTCGCAAGATGGTAAATAGAGGTGGGAGAAGAGAGGGGCGGGGTGGGGGGGGGGGGGGGGGGGGGGGCGGGGGCGAGACGTGCTAAAGAAACACCGCGTCAGGGATGCCAAGTTTCCCGAAGCATTCATTGATCGCGTGGCACGCGACATTCCCCTTTGCAGGTCGAGACACAAGAACGCCAGCCACCACCGATGTCTGATTGAATTTGCAGGTTGTTCCCGCCGGCTGGGCAAACAGAAAAGAACCTCGCTTTAGAATGCCGACGTCCCCAGTATGCTTCTAACGCGAGTGCTCAGAGCGGCAGCGAAGCCGCCAAGTGTCTCTTTTTTCTGTTTTCGCGCGCTTTACTTGGCTCGCTTTACTTGGCGCGCTTTATTTGGCGCGCTTTATTTCGCACACTTTTTTTCTCTCTCGCGTGGCTTTCACTCTTTATTTTCTCAGATTTTATTGTTTGTTTTGTTTTCAATCTTCTGGCAGCTTACTTAAGTCTCATTTCTATATTTGTAGTAAGCTTTCTAATTTTTCTTTTCTTTCTAAATGAAAGGGATATGTTTGAAGGGCCTTCGCGAACCGTTCGAGGGCTTTAGAGAGTGCCGAGCTAAAGGATGTGAAAAAACGAGCTTTCTTAAGACAGGACCACGTGGCGCAAACGAAGTAAGTGCACATCGCGAGAAATAATGAAAAGAAAGAAAGAGGAGATGCCACTGGGGAGCATGGTTAAGTGCGTTTGCTACTAAACAAAGATTGGAAGCAAGCACACCATCAAATAAAGAATCCTAAGAATCCTAAAATAACGTTCGTTGTTTTAATTTTTTTGCGATTTTAACACGACGCGTGTAAGAAGCAACGGAACGACACGTCGGGGGGAAAATGCCGTTATTATTTTTTGGTACCGACGCGGGGTGTTGACACGGAGCCCGAAGAGAAAGAGCTGATGCGAAGAACGGGCGGGGGATTTGGAAAGCGTCAATACCGTTCTTTTGGACTCGGTGTTGTTCGTCTGGTAACATTATTTCGATATCTGTAAGGTGCTTTGTCTAGCATCCCTCGCCGAAAAAAGGGGCGGCGCGTCACATAGCATTGCCTTGGGTATGGAGAGGAGTCAAGTAAACAAATGAAAGAAAACCGAATGGAATAAGAAATGGAGTCAAGAAAGAAGAGAGACCAAGATATAAACGACACGATGCACTTGCTGTTTGAGTCTCGTTTCCTTCGAGTACATTTCCATTTCGCATTTTAGGAGGAATGAGTAAAAAAGTGTGAAGTGCTCGCGTTTTAGATGCTTAAAAAAGGAGTGAAAGAAAGAGAGGGAAAGAGAGAGAGAGAGAGAGACGCCAACTGCTTTGTTATCGGTACCTAGGTAAGTGGTTTTGAACACCGGAACCCCTGGAATTACGGAAGCCTTGGGATACCGGAAACCCCTGGATACCGGTACCACCGGATAGAGCAATCGCTAGGATTCCGGAACCGTTGGGATATCGATACCTCTGTGATATCGTAACCTCCGGGATACCGTAACCGCTAGGATGCCCGAACCTTTGAGACACCGGAACCTGCGGGATACCGTGTCTTCCAGCATACCGGAACTTCTGGGATACCGGAACCTCTAGAATACTGGAACCCTTGTGACACCTTTGGGGTACCGGAACTTTTGGGACACTGGAACTTATGAAATACCGGTTCCCCAGGGGTTTCAAATTTCCTGGGATACCGGAACCGTTTGGATACCGGGACGTTTGAGTTACTAGATCCTTTTGGGGTACTGGAATCCCTAGGATACCTGCTCCTCTAAAACACCGGAACCCATCCGAAGCCGGAACCCGATAATGACCGAAACCTCTGAATTACCGGAACCTCTGGGATTCCAATACCTTTGGAATGTTGGCACCTTTGGGATGCCGGAACCTTTGAGATACCGAAATTTCTAGGATACTGCGACGTATTGTATACCGAAACTTCTGGTATACCGGAACATCTAAGATACCAGAACCTCTAGAAGACAAGGACCCCTGTGATACAACCTCTAGGATACCGGAACTTTTGGGATACCGGATCCCCAGGGATTTCAAATTTCGTGGGATACCGAAACCGATAGGATACCGGCTCCTCTGAGACACCGGAACCTCTGGCATAGCGATACCCTTGAAATGTCGGAACCACCTTTGGGATGCCGGAACCGCTGAGATACTGGAACCCCGTGACTCGTTTAGATGTAAGAAATACATCCTTTGAAGTTCAGGACATGTCAGGCCATTCCTGACTGGCTGAGAAATAGCTAAGCGTCTCTGCATGCATGTGCATTTCGAATATCGCGAATTTATATCTGCACCAATATTTATAAATGTTTTTTTTAGGTCTATTGACAGATACCGAAAGCACCGAATCCTTCATATAACTAAGATTCCGTGTTTTTAGTACTTACCGAAAAACCCCGGAAATCAGCAACCGACCTGGCTTTCTCGGAATCGGGGAAGACCAAAATAAAAAACAACAACCCGTCTCGGAGCTGTCCTTAAGTGACAAAAAGAAGAAGAAAAAATGAAAGCCGTCCACAATTCCTTGTGAGGCTGAATTAGAGCGCAGCTCTTGAGGACGAGGAGGAGGAGAGGAGGGTACGAAGAGGAGGGTATGCCTTTCTTCCTTATCCGTAGCCTTCCCTACTCCTCTCCTGCTCCCCACCCATTTGGAGGGAAATGCTAAACTTTACATTTTACTTGCTGCAAAGTTGCAGCAACTAAAGTAAAGCTTTGCTTGCTGCAAGTTTGCAGTAAAGTAATGCTTTACTATACTGCAAAGTTTAGCGTCCGCTAAACTTTGCAGGACGAATTACCCGCGAAATTTAGTGTAGAAATCTTCCGCCAAATTTAGCGGGGAAAGTTTTCCGCCAACTTTAGCGGGGAAATTTTTCCGCTAAATTTAGCGGGAAAATATTTTCGCTGATTTTAGCGGGGAACTTTTCCCGCTAAATTTAGCGGCAATTTTTTCCCGCAACATTTAGCGGGGAAATTTTTCCGCTATAAATATAGATAGGATTTTTTCCGCTAAGTTTAGCGGAAACAATTTTGCGTTAAATTTAGCGGGGAAATTTTCTCGTTAAGTTTAGTGGGGAATTTTTTCCGCTAAAACTGGCGGGGAAGTTTTTCCGCCAAATCTGGCGGGGAAATGTTTGCGCAAAACTTAACGCGCAATTTTTTCCACTATCTTCAGCGGGGAAATTTACCCATATTGCAACGCGCGGTGACGTCATGTGTGACAACATTATGGGAAACGTCCCATAATGCAAGCGCGGTTACGCCGACGGCGACTGCGACAACGACGGCGACGCCGATCAAGCCGGAAACGGGCGCCCAAGAGCTGCGCTCTAAAAACCAAAACAAAAAACCAACAACAAGCTTTACTGGAATAAACCTCTGTCTGCAGCTTTATTTTCGTTCAGCCAGGACTTGGCTGAACGGCCTGGCTGAACGACTCAGCCTCGTTCTTCGGAAACCACATCTTTTGTTTCTTTTTCTCTTATTGCTATCGGGGTGATTTTCCAAGTATTCGAGTCACGTGCACATTGGCTAGAGGTTAGAAAACCCATATGTCCATTTATCGTGTTTTCTTCATGACAAACCCCGAAAACGCCTATATTTGACTTGGCTCAAGAAATAGACACCGAAAGACACCGAATCTTTTGGGAACAAAAATAAACCCTGAAAACAAGGAGTTTTGTGGTCACGTGGATGTTAAATAAAGGATAGAGAACCGATATGCCCTTTTGTCCAGTTTTTTGTAAACACAAACCCCGATCAACGCCTATATTTCGCCTGGCTCAGGAAATAGACACCAAAAAACACCGAACCCTTGGGAAAAAAAAAATCTTTGCAAACAAGGAGTCCTGAATTAAAACTTAAGGAGCTTGTTAATAGACTTTAAAAAAAAAACAGTAAAAATTAACCCAAAGAGGAAAAGAACGTACTCGTCTGTGTTCTTGTCTTTGTGTTTAATCTTTCTGTTTTTTTTTATAACTTTTTATAAGGATTCCTGCAGTCACGTGAATGTTGACTAAAGGTTAAAAAAATCTATCCTTTTTATTTTGTTTTCTTAAGCACAAACCCCGATAAACACCTACATTTGACTTGGCTCAAGAAATAGACACCGAAAAACACCGAATCTATTGGGAACAAAAAGAAAACCCCGAAAACCAGGAATTCTGTGGTCACGTGCATGTTAAATAAAGGTTTGAAGACCCATACGCCTTGTTGTCCGGTTTTTTTCTTTGACACAAGCCCCGATGAACACCTATATTTGGCCTGGCACGGAAAGCAGACGAAAAGAAAAAAAAAAGCAACATCACAAACCTTTTGTAAAAAAACAAATCAATAAACGAAGTTTTGTTTGTAAGTCCGTGCTTTTGGAGGTTTATTTTTTCTGGAGTTAGGGGGTGTTAGTTGTCGTTTCTGGTTTTTCCCTATAAATTCGGAGCTTTTTTGTGTTTTTTTTTTTTATTTGCAATATTCGGTTTTGAGCAAAATGTTAGTGTTTATCTTGCCTCGAAATGTAGGCACCTCCAACCCGGAGTTTATTGGTTTTCCCCGATTTCGAGAAAATTGGTCTCGGTGCTAATTTTTTGGGGTACATTGTTATATAGACCAAACATACGGAATCTTACCTTTTACGTAATCTACTTAGAACAATTTTGTCGAGGGCAACCAAGACGAACTGACGTTCTGTTGCCTTTGATTGTTTCTACTCTCAGCGTTCTCGTCTCGGCGTATGTCGTCAGCGCCTTCGCGCCACGTTTAACGTATCAGTGTAGTCTCGATCTCCTTCTTCAAACGGCGAAGAGAAACAAATGAAAATCGAGCGATGAAGCTTCCGTATCTCGACGTAGCAGGATTTTTATCCCGTTCCAGGATTTCACGGGGACTCGATATTCCGCCTTTTAATTATAATCCTCGGATTGAGAGGCACCCCCCGTATATATTTCTCGCCGATTTGGGGCCCAAATCGGATCAGGTTTCCACCGTCTTTTGCGTATATTTTTTTTCTTTATTTTATCTCTTTTCTACGTTGTGTTTTGTAGCTTCTTGTTCGTGGCTTAGGTGTTTCCTAATGAGCTTTTCGCCACTACGCCTTCTTTTCCCCGGGGACAAATTTTGCCGCGACGTTCGATCGTTACTTGGTTCCCTTGACTTTCTAGGTTTACGCTTTGTTTTATTTTTCCCTGTAATTTTTCTAGTCGCCTTTTTTTTTTTGTCGTTGTTTGATCGCGGGCAAGCTCTCTTTTTGATATAGATGCGCCGGAGATACCTAGGATTAATATATCGGGTGCGAAAATTGCGACTAAAATTGATGGGGAAGGCGAGACCCTCCGCGCGAGGACAGTTTTGAGAGAAGATTTTGGCGATGCTGCCAATTCATCTAGGGTTTAACGAGGATGAATCGTAAAGTAGACTGACAGCTTCCTTTCTGTGTTTTCTTTTTTTAATTTAATGATAGCGCAGCAATATATAATTTTTGAGAGGTTAAAAAACGCAGGCTGTAGTGGGTCCCGATCGTTTGAATATTGTTGATAACGAGATAATTAAAATGATGTTAATTAAAATTAATGAGATAAAAAATAGCGAGTCACGACCTGTGCTTCTTAAGTTATCAGTGAATACATGCACTGGTTGAATGTTTTGCTAGCACGCGTAGCAGAAGCACTTTTTTGCAACTTTCATAACGACAAGTGGGAACTAACAACTTTTTTTTTAAATTTTTGATCGAGGATACATTTGTCAGTTGAGAATATTAGACTCGTACACGTCACTCGTTAGAAGTAACAAAGCTACTTGCAATCGATTGCTTTTTTTTGTAGTAACATTGTAATCGTTCAATTACATGTATAAGGAAGAAATGAGCTTACCATCAGCTATTACTATTTTTGTCATCCCCTTTTTGATAGCGCCTTTTGTTTTTTTTTACAAGTTTTCCACCAGGGAATCCTCGAATCAAGTACCCTGACAAGAGGACGGCTTGCCGAAATCGGTGTATCAAGAAAACATGTCGTTTCTAATTCGGTGACTTTTGTATCAACAATGGACAATACAAAAAGACCAGTTTTTAAACCGGCAGAAAACTTTAGTTTTGAACGCCTGAAGGAATAAAAAAAATAAATAACTGTTACTTTTCCAAGTAACAGGCCTTTCCTCTCAACTAATCAAATAATCTAATTGAATACTTTTTGACCAAGCGTAATTGTAATTGTAATCGATTATTTTCTTTTTTCGAGTATCGTGTACGAGACTACATTGGATGCTCCTCCTATGGAATTCCAAAATACCTCATAAATTGCCCCTTAAGGTACCTTCTAAGGTTCCTTTTAAGGTATCCTGATAGACAAGGTGTCATAAAAAGAGACACCTTTTTTACCGCAAAAATAAACTAGGCATCGCCGAACGCTCATTCTCCGCCCAAAGGTGACGCTGGAGTCCACAACGAGATGCCAATGTTTCAGCCCGATCCGATAACTTAATCAAAAGTTATAACTGATTTTCTGGAAATTTCAATGGAGAAATGGTGGCCAACGGATTTTTCTAATACATGGGCTCTGTGGCACCAGAAACGGAAAACGAGCAAAAATATGCTCCATTTTTCCATTGGAATTTTCAGAAGATCACTTGTAACTTTTGAATAAGTTATCGGATCGGGCTGAAACTTTGGCGTCTGGTTGTGGCCTCTAGCGCTACTTTTGGGCGGAGAATGAGCGTTGGGGGATGCCTAGATCATTTTAACGGTAAAAAAAAAAAAAGTTTTGTGACACACCGTAGATGAATTCTTTTTTCCTTTTCGTGTGCGTTCCGAAACATAAAATGAATAATTTCCCCAAGGAAAACACCGAAAAAAAAGCGTGGCTTTTTTTTTGTAACGGGATAGAAGGTTTTGGAAAGGGCTGTAGTGGAAAATCCTGCTTAGGGTTTAGGCTGCCGTAAGTAAAGACATAAAAAAAGTTGAATCTTTTACTTATCCGGCATCAATCGGAAGTAGAAATCCGGAAGGCCAGACGCTGCAATCTTGGCGCCTGATAATGTGTTCAGACTTTAAAAAAAAACCAGTCGGCGCCGTGGCCCTGGGCATGTTTCGCGGAAAAGTTCACGCACCTTATTTCTCAGTGTGTACTGTCAGTGTGTATCAACAAGTGATTTGTCCAACTTCCTCTTCTAAAAGACAGAATATTTGTCTTTTGCCCTCTTTCACTCTCTCTCTCTTTCTCTTTCACACACTTTCTTTCACAAAAGAAACAATAATATTCAAGGAAAGGCGGCGCGAGAGAGATGCATTGGATGAACAAAAGGCAAAATTCCAAAAAACCAGAATGATGGTTGAAGGGAGGCATAAAGATGGCGTCCTCTGTGGCCGGAAAAGGAACTTACCCAGAACCAACGTGGGCCAGCTCTCCATTCTGGCTGTGAGACCCTTGAGGAATATTTGGTGGAGGAACATGAGCGTCTCACTGTGTTCAAAGAAAACAACAACAGAAAACGAAAACGAATGAACAGATTGTTTATTGAACGTTTTTGAATATTGCTATTGTGGCTTCAGTAAAGAAAAAACGGACGCTTCAAAGTAGTACCACGACTCACTCCAAACTTTGTAATCAATCATTATTCATTTTGTGTTCGCAAAGAAGGGTTGAATAAATTACGATCATTTTTGTCGTCCTAGATTATCTAGTTTGTAATTGTGAGCCTCGCATCCGCGATGTTCGGAAGTTCGGTGGAAAACCGACGGTACTTAACGGGTTTTGTCAGCCAGCACGACCACAATCGAGTTACAAATCGCTCTAGAAATTTTTTTATTACGTATCGCGGACAAATCAGTTTCACGGGACGGTTTGGTGACCGAGCGTTTGCATCTCACGAGGCTTTGCGCACGAGTTATGGCAGCTCGGTAAAACACTGGTTCACGTGCGCTTTAAAAACGCCGTCACACTGAACGTGCATCGCAAAGAATGACACGGAGTTTCTCCGCGGGGCTTCTCCGCGGACACGCATCAGTCACTTTCGAAGCAGGTTTGCTTCATACGCGTGAAGTCCTCTATCATGTCTGCATACAGTTCTTAACGCGAAATGTTCTCTTGACCTGTGACTTCGGATTCCGCGAAGCCATGGCCCGCGACGTTCCATGTTGCAACGCGCGCAGTGCGGACCTTCGCGAACATCGCGGACCTCCGCACCGATTCAGTTTCTCCTCTCAATGTAGCGTGGAAGTCGAATCGGCGAATAGGTCATGTGACACCGCGTCACGCGACGTCAGTTTTTTCGCGAAATTTAGCGGGGGAAATCGACGCCCCACGACCCACACGGCCATTGAGTTTCTGCTCTAAATTTAGCGGGAAAATGAACGTCCCGTGGCCAATACGTTTATCCAGTTTTCCCTTTAGATTTAGAGGGGAAATTAACGTCACGCGATGCTAGAACGTTTCACGTATGCCGACGCAATTAATTACGCAGCAATTGGCCAAACAATTGTTTGTATGCCCGATGTTCGTCTGCTTTTTTTGCATGGGTTACGGTGACGTTGAAACGATGCCGTGTTCTGATTGGCTCCGATTGAAGGATAGTGGGTAGAGCTCAAGGCGGCTTGCTCTGAGCTCGACCCACTATCCTTCAATTCGAGCCAATCAGAACACGGCATCGTTCTGACGTCACCACAACCCTTGCAAAAGAAGAAGACGGACCCTCTCTCCGCGTGGCTCGCGCACTACAAGGTTGCAATATCTGATTGCAGCACGTCGTGGGGTGTGGCTCACCTGTTCAGGAATATAGAGTTGACCTCGTCATGTGTGCAGGGAGGTTTCTGAGAACTTGCCGCCATCTTGAATGGCCTTAGGAAGCATGAGACCAGCAGCTGGAGCTGCTCCACGTATTCTTCCTCCGCCTCCACCATTCGGAACACGAGACTGCGAGGGGGAAAAGAAGGGGCACGTTCCCGTGACGTCACTGCTTCGTGAGTACCGCGTCAGGATGACGCGTCGCTGTCTTTTTGCCGCTTTAGAAGTCGGGAGCGTGAGACCGCGAAGGTGCATGTGACCGTGACGTCATCGTTTTGTGAGTACTGCGTCACGAGAAGGCGTCGCTGCTCTTGCGCGGCTCCTCCAAGGTTGCATTATATTGACCTAAAGTCGAAACGCGAGACTGCTACGCTAAGGAACATACGCCTCACCGTGACGTCACCACTTTATGAGCTCTGACGGCAAAAGCATACTTTGAGTGTGCGTGTCTGTGTGTTTGTGTTGTTGGGGGGGGGGGGGGGAGCTGATGCCGACTTCCTTTTTTATTTTTTATGTACTATTTTGTTTTTCTTTCAGAATCTGAATTTTGTACGAGAGAGCACAATATCCCTAGCAGGTTCCTTTTATCTCCTTAATATGTCGTATGCGGCGATTTCTATTTTCTGCGTGCAAAATGTTTTTTTTTTTCTTACGCAGTGATCCTAATTGCTAGATGACGCATATTGATGTGTTTCCACAGCATATCACACAATCATGGCACGGGTCATATTTTGTATAATTATGTAAAATATATGGGAAAGCCACGTTCTTGGTAGGAGCATTTAGCTGCATGTAAACGTTGTTGCTAATTTTCCTTCAAAGATATAAAATTTTTAAGCTCGAGGCGTGGTGGAGATTACCAATGTTTCGATATGGTATTTTCCACAGCCGTCAATTTCACGCCGAAACAGGAAGATGGTAATATTTCCTAAACTTATTTTATGAAAGGTTTGCAACATGTACAATAATAATAATAATAAAAAATACAATAACAGAGTTGTATAAAAAAAAAAAGAAGAAAAAGCTACGAGACACGTTAAATAAATTCTTTTTAGAATCACATTCACAAATCATTTACCCAACAAACTACTTTATAGTAAAGGACACAAACATTATGAAAATGAGCATCTTTAATTGCCTTTCACAAATATATAAGACGATGCTTAGCCATTATTGTAGTTTTGTTATTAATGTAGAAAAGCAACTGATTTCTCTAAATGTTGCGAAAATGCGGGTCATATATATATATATAAATAAATATTTTTTTAGTAAACTTCTTGTAATCGTTTGCAGTGTCTTAAACTAACATGCGATAGCAAAACATTGAGTAACCATTGACCTCCCAAAGAGAGAAAAGAAAAATTAACGATAACAAACCGCCGTTAGTCAGATTAAGCTAGTTTGTCTTCCTATAGGTGCTTTGCCGGACAACGTCGACTCCAAAGAAGAATTTTCTAGAACCAGCAAAGGCTGTATAGCAGTGCTGCTCTATCGTGGGGCGTAAAAGTCGTGCCGTACCTAGCTTAATTTTATAGACCCTTTTACTGTTTACAAACACGAACCGCGGCTTGCGTCCCAAGCGAGGTCAAGTAGCTCCGCCTTTGCAAGCCTGCCCAGCTTGCTTGTGTCACCGGTGCTAGAAAGCATAAATGCTGCACGGATAGCAAAGTTGGAGACTTAACGGGGTCTTCAGCTGTTCAATTTAAGGCCTCGGAGAAGCCAAGTTGGTGTAGTGCACAGCACGGGCCCGGGCCAGCCCGACAACCCAAGCACGGCCCAGCCCGCGGGCCGGGCTTGGGCCGGGTTGCACGCATTTTTTTCGGGCCAGGGCTAGACCCGGGCCTGAACAAAACGTTTTTCTGACTCTGCCGGCCCGGGCCTGCTTGGGCCGCGCCTTGGCAGTCGTGGGCCGCTAATTCTAGATTGTTGATAACAAAGAGTGTGCTCATTGATTATTGATGGTTCAATGAAAACAAACAAGCGAAATGCAGAACCACTACGACGCGTTAAAAAGAAAAGAAAAGAAGAAAGACGTTTGGCATCTTGAAAGTTTTTATATGGATAAAAGGAAATGTATATGATTCCACCAGCATAGTGGGAAAGTGCGGTAAAGAAAAGGAGGGCACTCCAGTCGTTGTGTACAACCATAGCCTCCTCTATACTCACAAAGCCTGGCAGTTCGATGACGGAGCCATAGGGTGCCCGGTCGCAAATTTGGAGCGCGAGGATCTGGGAGCACGGAGCATTTCTCGGGGAGTCTGGTATTCAGAGCAAGGTTTTTGCAGCGGCGAGGACCCGAAACATGGCTTTGAAAGCCGACGAGAAAAGAAGCGGTAGCCCGGGGAACGCGAGAAGCACGAGCGGACATTCCATCGCTCGGGACAGGTGTGTTTCGGCGTCTCGCCGCAGCGGGGCGCCTGTTACATGACTCTTGTCTACCGCTCTACCTTTTCACTTTCGGCGGCCGCGTCACGAGACGACCTGCCAGGCGTTGTCAGTATAGAGGAGGCTATGGTACAACATGAGTGTCTTTTTCCTCTGCTTTTCAAACTAAAAAAAAAAAGCGAGCTTGGCTTTGCACTTTGTGGAGGGTTCCTTACTATGACACCAAAGGTAAGGTAACTACCATAGATAATTTGATGCACATACAGCCTTTTGAAGATGCACTAACGTGATTATAATTGTTTCTTCACAAAAAAAAAGAACATGTAGGAAGAAAGTTTTCTGTGAAACGAATTGAACAACAAAAAAGTCCAATATCCCTTCAAGAAATATATACAGTAAATAAAATATTGCTCTTTTTTCAATATCATGTATGAAGTGCATATTTCGCCTATATTCTCGATACATTGTCTATTTTATCGTGTCAAAAAAAAAAAAAAACTCGGTGGTTTAAGGTTAAAAGAAATTTGAATCAAATATGTTCGCTTTATGCTTAGAAAATTCTTAGGTTAAAGCCTGCAAACTTTTTCAGGCTCATGTATATAATCTGTCGGGCTTGGGCCGAGCCCGGAGAGTTTCTGTTCCTGGCCGGGTCGGGTCGATCCTAGAAATTAAATATTCTGTCGGGCTCGGACTGGACTGGGGCCGGGCCCGGGCCGGACCTGGGCCGTGATTTTACCAGGCCGGGTCGGGCCGGGCCTAAAAATTCCGGCCCGTGCAGTGCTCTAAGTGAGTGTACAAGAATACTCGAAACATCTTAACACATCTTGCACTCCTTTGTTATCTTGGTGTGCACCTGGAGAATTGGTGGTTAAACATTTCATCGACGTTCAAGCAGTTGTGTTAATGTGGTCATTGTTAATTCTTTTTATGAACCGGAAGTTCGCTGGGACGTCAAAAACTGGAGCACCGTCTAATGGCGTCCGCAAAAAGAAGGGTCTATATTTGTGTTCCCTTGCATTGCCTCATGACGACACCTGGCGTCACGGGACCACGTGACACTGTGTCACGTTCCATCGAGGCTACATTTGAGCGCGAGCACAAGGGCTAAGAGAGAGAGAAAAAACTTTCATTAAAGCCACCTATGTCAGGGCAGTAGTTAGCTGGCCTAATTGGCGACAAAAACGATGCTTTGGTCGACATTCGTGATTGACCCAACGTTCACTGTAACCTCCTCATTTGGATTAATTTCGCTTTCATCCACGATAATAAGAGGAATGTCGGACTGTGGAACTTTGAGATGGTACTGCTTTAAGGACGCCATAACTCTAAGCTTTTGTCGGACTTTTCCGACACGCCATGGAGCTTTTAGGTCGCAACTGACGGTAAGTAGCCACGATTGCAACTCGCGACGTTACAGGCGGAAACCACAGGAAAGCGCCATTCTAACATATGTACGCGCTGATAAAAGCTCCACATTAAAAAAAAAAAAAAAGAAAAAGCAAAGGAAGACATTGAGAGGCCATTGGGACTCTGCGCAGTGTGTTCGAGACTCTCTTTCCGTGAACTTTGGGTTCATCAAGCTGTCTTCGCAGGCTTCTAGGAAGCTCCCCACCAACACCCCTTTATCCCGCAGACCGACCGAAATTCCGGTGCTTTTTTTGTTTTTTTTGTTTTTGCTCATTCCAGAGCACGCGGCCTCCTCTTCGAGAACCCGCATGTGGGTCCAAATGGAAGAGAAGCTGCGAATGAAAGCCTCCTATTGCTCTCCTGGGTCACGTTGGATACCCGAGACCGTAAACTCGGCTCCGCTTAAAAGAACCGCGGTTAGTGTCACAAGTCGTTATTGTAACATTCTATATTCACGATACTGGTTGTTCATTCGCGGCCCGTTGTCTCGTGCAAATTTAAACGAGTACTACGGCGTTTTTTTTTTTAAATAATCTTTGATATGCTTGAAAAGTTGCTAAACACACAAAGAAACATCTTCGAAATAGTGAACCAAATATTTTGTCGAAATAATTTTTTTTCGCGCCTCTATTAAATAAGCAATATTGATCCTCACCATGACTTTGAAAGTGAAGTGAAAACTGGCAACAATCAAAAAGTGACGTCAGTGGAAATCAGGGGTTCACTCTCTGGACTGTAGACTTTGTTGCCAACTGATTCCAAGCGGTTTCAAGGCGCCAAATGAATGCTTTGGAAGCTCGCTCCAGCACCCGCGCAGCTAGCTGCGCGAGACAAATGCTTGGCATAGTGCATTTTTTAGACTGCCCGCTCGACCTGCAAACCTTCATTCCACTGACGTCACGGCACTAAAGAGCGCGGGAATATTTGAATGTCGGTTTTGGCGTCATTTTTGCCAGCCGATTTCTCAATAACTATTCTGAATTTCGCAACACTTCAGAGCATACCGGAAGGGGAAAAGGTCGGTGATTCCGAAAATGTAATTGAGGAGAATACGGCCCTCAGCTATGTGGATAGCAAGTTCGTCTGCCTCTTTTACAGTGGTGTTGGTGACGTCAAAAATACGCCGAGCTCTCATTGGCTCTGGTTGAAGGGTAGTGGGCAGACCTCAAAGCGAGCTGCTTTGAGGTCTACCCACTATCCTTCAATCAGAACCAATCAGAGCTCAATGTTGTAAAAGCCACCACGATCCCTGCAAAAGAAGCAGACGAACTTGCGCTCCGCATACACCAAGAAACGGCTCTGACGTCACGAAGCTGCGGTGGCGCTGCTGTCGATGC